ATGACAAAGATATATGCTTATCATGTACAAAACAAAAAAAAAAACTAAAAACAATATTTTAAATGAGGGTTATCCTCAACAAGTACATAAATTTATCTTCATTGTATACTCTACACCTAGCACACAGCCTAATATTGTTAGGCACTTGTTTTGTGAACTAGTCTATTGAAATACATTAGATATCCTTTTTGTAAGTAGGTGGGGCATAAAGAATAAAAACATTCAGAAAAAAGATCATTCAAAAAATTAGGGATTATGTAGTCTGTCATGGACTGCTAATAAATCTGAATGATTTATACCACTTTTCAGACTTCAGCAGAGAAGTTACACAGCAACATCAGCAATAAAAATCTGATCACTCTAAGCAAATTCTCCTCTACCTGCTCAGCAATATGTTCACTGATGCACTGACTGATGAATAAATAGAAAAGATTAATGAAAGCCAACAAATCCTTTGGGATATTGCCAGGAAAGTATCAGTACTGTTATCAACCTCTAGGGAAAAGTACTGTGGTCCAATTAAATCCTTGCTACTTGCACAGTGGCTGGCATTTAACAGGTGTTCAATAAAAGCCTACTGAATGAACACAATGTACTCCAACTGTCTCAATAAGGCTAAGAAACTTCTAAACACCTGACAGTTTCACCATCAGTTCATCTTTGAAATATTTCATGTTATAGTAGCACAGGTTCAGGAATAAAAGCCTAACAAACAACAGAGGCAAGCCTCAAACACTGTTGTATAGTGTTGCTAAGCTAGCAAAGAGAAACGTTTTAAAACTTTTCTGAGGTTTATCTCTAGATTGATAATAATCAATGGTTGCACACAAAGCAGACCAGCAGGTTGTGGTTTAAAAATTAAAATTAAAAACACCCTTGAGCTTTTTAGTTACCAAAGGCAGTGTTAAGATAGCCCCAGAAAATGCCACTATTAACGGCAATTCCTTAAAAACTAGGAAAACAGGAAAGCAATTTGTATCCACTCTTTAATGATGACAAATGGAAGTAATTTACACAATATTTCTCTTCCTTTTCTACTACTTGAAAAAGCACCAAGCATTATCTTTTTTTTTTTTTTTAAAGATTTTATTTATTGTAAGAGAGAGATCATGAGCAGGGGGAGCGGCAGGCAGAGGGAAAAGCAGGCTCCCCACTAAGCAAGGAGCCGGATGCGGGACTTGATCCAAGGGCCCTGGTATCATGACCTGAGCCAAAGGCAGGCGCTTAACCAACTGAGCCACCCAGGTGCCCCAACCAAGCATTATCTTTTATTTTTATTTTTTTTTTAAGACTTTATTTATTTATTTGAGACAGAGAGAATGAGAGACAGAGAGCATGAGAGGGAGGAGGGTCAGAGGGAGAAGCAGACTCCCCGC